ACTGTCGCGCACAAACAGAACCAAAACACAAAATTAAATCCAGGCCTGGTCCTCTCTCGTCCAACACTGTCGTCACTCCTCCGTGGGACTCGGAGACCGGTGAGCGGCGCAGGTGTCGTGTATTAGCATTTACTCCACCGGCCTCGCTCCGTTCCCACGGCTCTCGACCCCGCCCCTCTTGTCACAATATGATCTTCATATTGTTTACTTAGTTTTATTTTATTCTTGTCTTCATCAGATGCTCTCTCCCAGTTGCAAGCTGCAAGAAGCTCAAAACTAAACAAGCCAACAGGTATAATTTTAATGTCTATTTAATTATCTTTTTTGTATGATTGTGAGTGTGACCCTTTTAGCAGTTTGAGGAACCCCTTTAGTGCTGACTGGCTGTAGATCCTGTAGATGTAAAGGTCATTCACTCAAGCTGTGACATGTTAGACATAAACCCAATGTTAACTAAAGAACAAATTGGATATTGAGATCCATTCAATGGCACAAAGGTAGGAGCAGAAGAAATAAAAAACAGGTATATGAATCAATAGGGAACAGCAGTGGTTTATATAACACCAATAAAGGAAAGTTTGTTCTCTAGTAGAAAGAAGTCAGAGTCTGACTGGAACCCTGCAGTTCTCATTTGTATCAAATTGAGATTGGATAATGACAAAGTGTATTTTTATTTGCTGTTTTTTAGATTATACTGAGAAGTGTATGGCAGCATGTCTCGCAGCACAGCAAAACCCAGACCTCATGAGAGATGGTAAGTTCAGACTTACATTTATTATTATATATAAAGTCTCTTATGCTTATCAAGGCTGCGTTTATTTCATTAAATGTACAGTAAAACAGTAATATTGTGAAATAGCACTGCTATTTAAAATGACTTTCTGTTTCAATTTTCAAACGTAATTTATTACTGTGAAGGCAAAGCCGAATTTTTTTAGCAGCCATTACTCCAGTCTTCAGTGTCACATGACACTGACTTAGCAAATTATTCTAATATGCTGATTTAGTGCTTATTAAACATTTCTTATTATTATCAATGTTGAAAACAGCTCTTTAATATTTTCATAGAAACTATAACGTTTTTCAAGATTGTTAGATGAACTGAACAGCCTTTATTTGAAATATAAATATTTGTCAACATTATAAATGTCTTTAATGCCACTTTTGAACTATTTAATGAGTCCTTGCTGAATAAAAGTTATCATTTAATTCAAAAAAATAAATTTTCTTACTGATTGCAAACCTTTAAACAATAGCGTATGTATACATTTTTTCAGGTAGCAGACTGAATAACTTTATGGCTCCATCTGATGCTGCATTACTTCTTGCTGGTGGCCCTCTGCCCCAAGACATCTACGCTCCTCTGACACCCTCTGACATACCCGGTAACAGCTTAAAAAGAATAAACCTATTCAAATTCAAATGAATTTGACTTTTAATAGGAAAGCGACAACAAATTCAAATCTACAGAGAGTTAAATATATGTGAGCTGATAATCAAAATACAGGTGCATCTCAATAAATTAGAATGTCGTGGAAAAGTTAATTTATTTCAGTAATTCAACTCAAATTGTGAAACTCGTGTATTAAATAAATTCAATGCACACAGACTGAAGTAGTTTAAGTCTTTGGTTCTTTTAATTGTGATGATTTTGGCTCACATTTAACAAAAACCCACCAATTCACTATCTCAACAAATTAGAATAACTTCTAAACACGTTGTCTCTGTAATGAGCCTAATGAGGGAAATTTCAAATATATTCATAAATGTGAATATAGACAAATATTAATTAATTCTGACACAAGAAAATGTTAAATATTGCTGGTGCTCTTTATTTTTAAAAGTGTTATGATCACTGTCAGTTTCTGTATATGAAAAAAACTGTAAAATGTTAATTATCTAATTACTTTACTGCAATTACTGTAGTTAGTAGAAAACCAAACTATATTAATATTCATATGGACGTGTTAGGCTATGGTGTTGTTGATATGTATTTACCTTTGTTATTAGCGTTTTTGTATTATGTTTTATCCATGTCACATTGTGAGAAATAACAGTATCTTTCATTCGA